TGTCTGTCTCTAACCATACCTTGCTTTTGCAATTGCCCTGCTTCATAGGCTTTAACGTTGAGGCCAAAGTAAATCCCGAGACAGGTTTTGTTTACGGTGGAAATCGCTTCAACTGTGGGACGTGGATGGATAAAATGGGAGAGAGCGACAAAGCCCATAATAGAGGTGTTCCAGCCACACCCAGGTACTATAATTATCTGCTAACATACCTGTCACACTAAACCTCTACAGTATAATAAAGCTCCACTATATCTAGTACAAAAGAATGCTTTTAATGAACACTGAGACTAAGTGGCGTGGATAAACCAGTCCTCCATATGTCAAGTGGATGATGGCGTTGTGCTTATGTTCAGGGATGGCTCTGCGGTGGAGATTGTTGGTCTTAGTAAGTCAGCGGTGCGCTGGCTGATGATGATGAATGAGAGTGGAAATTATCCATACTCCTCTGTCACAATACACAGAGATGGTACGTTCTTTATAACGCATTCTCATTCTCAATGAAAATGTCAGTGTTTATTATTTTATTACAAAATAAAGTGCCAGTAATAACTGGTAATAATTTTTATTTATTGCACAATAAGTTGCCAGTAATTCAATATATATGTATATATTATTTTTTATTTTTTATTAAAGTGACACTTTCCTATCCTGCACTGTTGAAAAGCCACACCTTCAATTGTATCACAATTCACTGTTATGGACTAACATATATTTACAGCCTTTTCAGCTGACAGCATGAAAATCACTTTTCATATATTTTAACGATCGGACATGACCATTACAATGTGGTTCATTCAGGAGCAGAACAGTCAATGTCATATAAGGAGTGGAATCAACTGATCCAAGAGAATTTTGAAAGGTTATTCTACGTGTCAGATGACCCTGCGGACCCAAATGAGCAACATCCCGATCTGGTCCACAAGAAATGCATTTACAAAGACAGTTATGGGTCCTCTAGCACCTGGTGTGACTACCAGCTCAGGCCTAATTTCACCATCGCCATGGTTGTGGTGAGTCTTAGTGCTTGTAAAAATCTTTTCAAGTGTTTTGGAGGCTGTTCTCTTATACACCAGTTTGTTTCACCAGGCACCAGAGTTGTTTACAGTGCAAAGAGCCTGGAAGGCTTTAGAGATGGTTGAAAAGAAGCTGCTCGGTCCTCTGGGAATGAAAACACTGGACCCAGAGTAAGTAGAAAACAACACCTGCTGTCTGCCTATTGCCTGAGCAGCTACTGTGTTAAGAGTGTGCTCTTCTGGCGTGCTGACTGGACATGGTTTGATAAGTGTTTTTGGTAACACTTTCTTTGAAGACCATGCTTATAATGAATTATAGCTCAATTTATACTTATTTATAAGGAAGTATTACTATTTTAAAAATATATTTATAAAGACTCATTAAGACCTATATTGCATTATAAGAACAGTTCTATTTACATTTATATTATTTTTATAATTACTTATAAGTCATGCATTTGCTTTTTCAATGTGCATGCTCATAATCCATTATACACTAATTACTAAGTATGAATTAGTCAGTCCTATGGTTCCATGAATGTATTTATAAAGATGCAGCCTGCATTGCTATAATGCTATTATATTATAGTTACAATGACTTTTTTTAGTAATTCCGATTTATTTCTGTCAAATAAGTGAATATATCATTATTAATAGCCGTGTTGTGTTCTTATAAATACTTATTGTGAGTGATAATACAGTTACTAACCTCTAAGTAAAGTGAAAACATAGGATGCAATTTTCCTAAAGCAAATGTTAAGAAATCATGAAGATGTTCTCATTATACATTTTAAGTTGTTTATTTGTAAATGTAATTAATGAACAATAATTCCTGTAATAAAATAATGAAAATGTAAAACAGAAATCATTAATACAAACAGTTGTCATTTTTTTTTAAAGTTACATACTAGCAAAACACTGCAACAATATTTTTTAAAGTATAATTCCAAACTGCAATACCATGCATATGGCTGAGGAGAAAAAAAAATAATCAAATTTACCATTCATTACCTCTAATGCAAACATTAGCCATTAAAGACATAATTGATAACTAATAGGTACAGCAAACAAGTGTCTCTGGAACTATTTGATATTTGATACATTATAAATCAGTGTATAATGGATTATGAGTATGCACATTGAGAAAGCAAATCAATGACTTATAAGTAATTATAAAAATAATATAACTGTTCTTATAATGCTGTATAGGTCTTAATGAGTCTTTATAAATATATTTATAGAATAGCAATACTTACTTATAAATAGCATGGTCTTCATAGAAAGTGTTACCGTGTTTTTTTCCAGAACTAGAGTATGTGCATCAGTGAAGTCATTCGCATATAGATGTCTTTGATGTTAGCGTGTCTGTATTTGTCTAACAGTGATCTGGTGTATTGTGGCGTTTATGACAACGCCCTGGATAATGACAACTACAACTGTGCGAAAGGATTCAATTATCACCAAGGACCTGTAAGTATATTTTGGAATTATCTCAGATGTGAGAGATTTTTATTTTATTTTATTTTTTTAACCATGCACATTTAATAATTCGTTTTCAGGAATGGCTGTGGCCAGTTGGATACTTCTTACGAGCCAAACTTTATTTCGCTAAGAAAATGGGCCAAAAGAAGTACAACGAAAGTGTGTACCTGGTGAAGAATGTTCTGTCTAGACTTTATACCCATTTAGAAAGGTATTGCAGATCTCACACACTAACAAAAATGGTTGTATTTCTTGTGGAATTGTTGGAATCTACAGGAGATTGAGTTTAATAATTAAGTATTTGAGTCATTTGCACAGTATATACAGCAGCTCATAGTCATATCTATATGTTGTCTATTGTTCTAGATCACCTTGGAAGGGTTTACCTGAGCTGACCAATGAAAACGGACAGTACTGCCCATTCAGTTGTGAAACACAGGCCTGGTCTATCGCCACTGTTCTGGAGGCCCTCTATGATCTATGATTATGTCAAGGACCTTGAAGATCTCATGTGCTACTTGCCACCTAACTGAGAAGTTCAAAGGACATTATTTTACATTCACAACCTTGTCCAGACACAAATGTGTGCTGCTACTGTTACTACTTTAGTGTTTGGAAGAAATGGAAATACATGTTGATTGTGCCAACTCATTTTAGAGAGCTTTTTGTCATGTTTACATTCTTATTAGTGACTACCAGCATACTCAGATTGGGTTTGTTGGTTAAGAGACAGATTTATCCCCTTTTGTGATTATTAAAACGCATCTGATGATCCCTCAAGAAAAAGGATAGATTCCTTACCTCGAAATAGAACTGGTCCTTTACTTCATTGTTTAAATTCATATAAACAAAATCTTAGACCTATAAAAACAGATCTTAATTTAGATCGGCAATGTGGGCGGTCTTTTCCAAGGGCAACAAAAGCTTGTTCTGCTTTCATGAACACAACAAACTACTTCATCTTAAGATGACATACATATTTTAGTCTCACTCATGCATTACAGAGCAGGTGCACCACAGTCTCGAGTTATTTTTAATCTCAGCTTTGAACTAATATTAGAGCTTAATAAAACAATCCATGTTAAGGGTAATTTTAACTCTCTACGGTACAATGTTGGCTTTGTAACCTTGATCTTTCTTCCCTTTCTTGCTTTTCAGAAACAAATACATAACACATTGTATGGTTAGAAGTGCAAAGTAATTTCTGTTTCCTGGGTCGCCCTTACATGGAAAATACATGCTGATTTAGAAATTCAAAGATTTCTGTACATTTCTTCTGCATCTGATTTCCCCCTACGTCTTAGACATTGAAAGATCAATTTTGTCGACAGTAGTTTTAAAGACACTGCAACTATATACAATATTTACATTACATTGGAATTACAGTAATGCAATTTCACTGGCAATTTTTGTCAATTACAGTAGCATCCGTTATATTATTGCTGTTAAACTTGTGCTATGTTTAATGGAAAGGACATACAGTAAAGAGGAGTGATCACTTTATAGAACAATACTGAAGAATAAATAATGATTCATTCAACTTTTAGGAGTTTGAAATGTATGAATGTATCAATCTTCACAAGAAAAATTTACTTGATTTGTGGTGAAATTGGGCATTGAGTACATAACTTAGTACAATTTCTCAAACTGTTTCCCTCTTTTATCAGTTTTATTACCTATTTTCTGTCAAAAATGCTGCATTATATTGCATTACAACATAAGATCCATACTATGGAACAGTGGATCTCAACTGGGAAATAACATAAATTGATATAATTTATAACATAAATCCATAACATATATAAAACATAAATTGTTTTATTTAAATAATTTAATTTAATGAATGCATTTTTCTTTGTTCTTTTTGCTCCGAAGAAAAATAATATCTTCATATGCATTTTTTACAGCAAATCAAAAACATTTTTATGGACATATTTATTTTTGTTTACCATGTATTCTTCAAACAGAGTCTAGACAAATTCTGCATCTGGAGAACTTAAGAAAACAATCTGGTTACTTATTTTGTTTTCTTTAAAAAAAAAAATTCAAGATTAATCATCATTAACAATTTTAACCCTTGTTTCATGGACATTGGACATTTTTCTCTTTTTCAGTTTTGTGGTTTTGATCATTTTGCCTGTGTTAATGCCAACTGCATTGGCACAAGTGTGCATTTTTATTGGAATTATATTATTTCACCCCATCCCCTTTAATGAATTCATTTTACACTTGCCCCGGCCTACACTCTGACCTTAAGGACAAAAATATCCCCATTGAAACCCACAGGTATTGAGGCGGTAAACAACATGCATTGTATATTTATTTAAGTATGATTTAAGTGAGTTCACGAGAAACTCAGTATCTCATGATCGCCCACTGTTGCATTACATCATCTTTTACCTATCCAGGTAAAGCCCTGCCCACAATGACTTTACACTATTTGCAGAGAAGAAGTGGCTGGAGTCTTGAGCTGAGCGCGAGCACACAGCCACACACACACACACACACACACATGGTTTCAGCCAAAACAAAGACAACAATACCCTCGCCCACCAAATTTTCCAAAGGTTGTTGTTTTTGTCCATTAATTTTATTTTGTCTCTTCTCTTCCCCGTCGGTGTTTATTGATACTCTCGACGATGACTTTATTAATAGTGAGTTTTTAAATCTCCTCAGATGTTCCTGTATGTTCTCCTGGCATGTGTTGGGATCGCGCAGTGTTATCCTGGTGGACAGGTCAGCGGATCGTGTGGATCTTTGATGCCTGTTCACGGGTCTAACGCTCAGACCAGCAATTCTCCGTTCACCGTTACTGCTGGCAAGACCACCTTTAAAGAGGGAGATGAAATCACAGGTGAGGCTGTTCTTCTACAACTGCTATGTGTTTTGTAGGACATACGCATTTACAAACTTGTACAGCTTTTAGGGGATTAATATATTGAGTGTTAATGAACAGTTTATTTTATTTTGTAGGCCTATACCGTAAATATGTTATAGTATGAAATTAAGGAACTTAATTGGCAATACTTCTATTTGACTTAGGGCTGCATTTGGGGAAAATGTCATATTGCGATTATTGAGGTCAATATTGCGATATGCGATTGCGATATAATAAACAAATGGTTTCATGAGTCAACCTGCTTGGTCCTCAAGTAAAATGCACACACAGATTAGTGATGCTGAAATGTGTATTTCTCAACTCAAAGAAACAACAACTAAATGCAGTTTTAAAATTAAAATAATATTTTTTACTAAATTAAATAGTGACATCTTTGCATAATACAATAGTATAAAATAAATGTCATACCTGTGCCCTAACAGAAATTGAATAAAGTTATCAAACAGTCTGCACTGCATACATTATTAAATGAAATATAGACTAATCGTTAGTAAAGCTACAAAAGTTCTTAATATAAGTCAAGAGCCAGTGAGTAATTTTCTTTGTTCTTTGATTAACTTTACTGACAGAAAGTTTTATTGGCTACTCTGTCACTTTAAAACCAGCCGCTGCTGACAGAGACGCGGACCTCACACGCGCCTCATTCTCTCACAACTCTTTACGTTCATCATAAGACTGCTCTTATGTTATGAAGATACTAGACAAAACGGACATTTTGGCATACTTGTGTGTGCGTGTTATTGTAAGTTCAAGCACGAAAGAGAACTCTCAGATTTCATCAAGATCTTAATTTGTGTTCTGAAGATGAACAAAAGACTTTTAGGTTTGAAATGCATGATAGCATTTTCCTTTTTGTGTGAACTATCCCTTTAACCTAACTTTTAGAAATTAATTACTATTAAATGTTATACTGTATTATAGATACATACTATACTATTAAATAATATAAATATGGAACCATACTATGTTAAATTGCCGAATGCATTCACAATGCATATAATAATACTAGGCTACTACACAATACTATACTATTCAATTAATGACTGCCTATCAGGTTTTTACATGGACTATGTTAAATCACTATTTTAATAATCAGAAAAAAAATGATCGTATCATAGTCATAGGCCTACATCAGTTTATCTATGCTAGTCCAGGGTTTGTCTGTATCTAAGGAAATTCCACTGAACTGTTTCTTCCTTTTCAGTATCTCTAAACGCACAATCAGGAGATTTTAAAGGATTTATGTTACAAGCAAATCTAGTTGGATCGAATAATCCCATTGGCACTTTTACTGTGACGGACAGTGCAGCACAGGGCCTCATCTGCGATAGTGTGGCTGTGAGTTTTTCTACATTATATTTTTATTATTACATTACTTGCTTCCATTACTAATAATCATAAACTAGTATGGGATGACATTGATGTATTTTTAAAAAAATAACAGCATTGACATATATTATATTATTCAGAATAGAGCAGTTTCTCACAAAACAAGCTCTATAAAGACTTCAATGCAAGCTAAATGGACGGCCCCTACATCCGGACAGCTTGGCAATATAGAGTTCAGGTATACATTTTCCTGTGTCATTAAATGTATTGATTTATAATTTGTATGATGTTATTACTTAGTGTGATTTTTAATTGATTTTTTTTTTTTTTCCCAGAGCAACATTTGTTAGAACTAAACAAATCTTTTGGGTTGGTGTCAAGAGCTCTGCTGTTGTGTATAATGGTACAGGAACAACTGCTACTGTAGCTCCGACTGTAAGTTTTACACCCACACCTACAAAAACATGAAATCTAGATATATGCCGATCTGTTCTCGTATGTTGTTTTATATTCAGCACAAATTGCTCTGTTCATTTCAGGTTTCATCAAACCCTGATTGTGGGAAAACCAAAGTCTGCTTCAGTCAGCCTAGCAACTGTGACCCAACTACCAGCACAGACTGTTACTTCATGGCAGTTCAGACATCATCTAACCAATCTGAAATGACCATCGAAATGTTTGGCCTGGCTGATGGATATGTCGCCATTGGGTTTTCAGATGACCAGAACATGGTACATACTCTTATACTCGCTCATGAGATATCAGCAGGCCCAAATGTAATCTGCAGACCTTTTCTACTTAATTTAACAAACTAAGTAGGAATGTGTAGAACTTTGGGAGTGATGGGTGTTAACTGTAAACACGTCACCATGTCAGACATATTATATTTCACCTGAAACATGAGATCCATCTGCTGAATCTTTTCTGGAGGACTACCTCTGTCAGCACTGACTCATTATTGTGCAATTCTCAACAAACATCAGCAAAACCCATATGCGATTTTGTTTTTCCAGGAACAATGAGACAACATTATGTTCATATGGGTTTAAGAAGTGTTTTGTTTGTATTTCCAGGGCAATGACGACGTCTACATCTGTAGTAAGAACAGCAGCGGCCTCCTCCAAGTGCAACACGCTTATTCCACAGGAAAAGAGACTCCAAATATTCTCTCACTGGTACAGTTCGCTTCCATTCCTCTAGTGTGCCACCATTTCTAACTGTTGTTTCATAAAATATCATCACTCACATACATATTCTACATGATTTACAGGGGAATGTGACTAATATCAAGACAGCGTTGACGAATGGAAATATCAATTGTTCTTTTACTTCTCGTAATGCCATTAGCACAGGAAGTAGAGCAACGTCCACCAGCCAGTATTACCTCATGATTGCTTCCGGACCCTCCAGTCAAGGTCAGTGGTTTATCGAGCCTGATTTCAAATCTATATGTTGTGTCAAATCAAAGATTTGAACAAAAACTGTCAAATGTAATTCAGTGTTATTTTAGTATAATTCTATAGTAATTCATATATAATAAATATATATATTAATATATATATATTAATTATATATAAATATATAATTCATTTCACTTTTATTTGATATTTTCCATTTCATTTTTAAATTTAGTTTTAATTCTTAATAATGTTATGTGCTTTCGTAATTTGATTAGTTTTTTAAATGTTTCTTTGGCTTTATTTTTATATGGTTACACTTTAATTTAGGGGTCCAATTTTCACTATTAGTTGCTTATTAGCATGCATATTACTAGGATATTGGCTGTTTATTAGTACTTATAAAGCACATATTAATGACTTATTCTTCATGAACATATTCTACATCCCTAATCCTACCCAATACCTAAACGTTACAACTACTATTAATAGGCAGCAAAAGTCATAGTTAATAGTTAATAGTGAGAATTGGACCTTAATCTAAAGTGTGACCTTTTATTTTATTTACGGTATTTTAGTTTTAGTTTAGTAATTTTCGGTAATTTTAGCTCTTATTTCAGTTGCCAATGCAACATTTCTCATTTTCATTTTTCATCTAATATTTATATTTTATTTTAGTTCAGCTTTAAAGAAAGGAAAATTATTTTTAAAAGTTGTTTTAAAACAATAACAACACTGATGTAATGCTTTCATTCTGCTTTAATATACCAAAAGTTACAGTCCTACATAAAAATGAAGATTGTCATCCTATACTCACCCTCATGTTGTTTCAAACTCGAAGGACTTTTGTTCTTCCATGAAACACAAATCAAGATATTTAGCAGAATCCGCAATTTAGGTAAGATTTTCAGTGAATAACAAACATTCCTCACAGAAGGCTGTCAGAAGACTGGTGCACAAGACACTTTTATGCTAATCTTATGGTACTTTTTTGAGCTTGACTGTCTCTAGACAACGTATGCTTTCATTGTATGCACAAGAGTGGCATAAACATCTTCTTTTGTGTTTTCTGGGAGAAAAAAAAAGTCAGTGGATTGGAACAGTAAATGATGAAAGCATCTTATGTCCTTTAACTGAAGAATTACCTTAATTTGTAGGTAACATCCAGTTCCACACAACCAAATATGTCAGTAGCACCAAGGCTGATTTGCTGAATCCATCCATGGTCACCGCAAACAGTGAAGAATTCCCAGCAATCGTTAAAGCCCATGGTGAGTACATCATGAAACACTGCTATTGGATCCACATTAGAGCCTCACATCAGTGTTACTGTGGTCCTAATGCTACTGATCTGGTTCAGGTGCCCTGATGTTAATCGCCTGGATGACCACGGGCAGTATAGGGATGATGATAGCACGCTACTTAAAGGGAGTTGCCAAGGGCCAATGTTTAGGCGGGAAAGATTTCTGGTTTCTGGTAAGTCTTTATCTGTTTTATCTGTTTTGGTTGCCATATTAATCACCTACACAATCATCAACAATGCCAAAAGGCAAAACACAGAGAAATACAGCTGTCAGTGTGTAAAGAGAATAGTAGTAGAAAGAAAATAGTAATTTTGCTTCTCTTGTTCACATTCTACCCATAATTCAAATCGCATGTGGATTTACGTGTATGCATTTGGCTTTTATCCAACTGCATGCAAGGTATACATTTTTTTTAATCTCATGCATTCCCTGGTAATCAAACCCATGACCTTGGCGTTGTTAGCACCGTGCTCAACTCTTATGCTTAAAGGGGACCTATTACGGTATGCACTTTTTCAAAGTCTTGATTTTGTTTTTGGTGTCTACTAGAACAGGTTTTAATTTCATATTTTAAATTGTTGGAGCAGTGTTCTCTGATTGGTCAACCACATCTAGCATGTTTCGGAAATGTCACACCCCTTACCATAACAGCGAGTTTCAACTACTAAAACTCGACCAGGCCTCGGCCTTTTTTGTGTGACTTGTACATTCCCAGGAGAAAACTCAAGACTTACAATCGAGGCGTTTCAGTGAGTTCAGAATCAGTGCGCACTGATGTAGAGAATAACTCCATTTGGAGTGACTTTGTGCTGTGTGCAGACCTTTTTCATACTCAAACAGCAACATTACTAAAGAAAGTTGAAAAAGCGTTTAAAGACCTTAATGTAAAAATATGGATTTTGGATTTTAATTTAGTTTAGACTATACATGCAAAAAAAAAAAAAAAACTAAACAAAGCCAGTGTCCTGCCCACGCGGGCCCCTTTATCTAACTCGTCATCTCATTTGTAAAGTGAATTACATGTCATGTTGACATATCTGTTTCATCAGCATGACAGTGGGAAAAATTCTTTGATAAATGCTTTCGAGTAATACGTATGTGTACAGTTAGTGCAAGCAAGATAAGATAAGAAGCAAGTTATGGTGTGTGAACATCACTTGCCATTAACAATCTTTTATTGCATTATATAACGCTTACCAGTTTACAGCAATATAACTTTTATACAACAGATCTATAAATGCAAAGATAATATCGAGTAACTTGTGTTTCAGCACAATATCAGCACTCTAAAATAAATGGATTGGATCTAGCTAATGTACGTTCAAAACATCTGATTCATCTATTTTAATACATTTTCATTTTTAATTTACAAAGACTGGTTTGATGCACTATGTAATGCTGTTAAAAACATACTGTAAGTTTAACCAAATGATTGAAAATAACTAAATATGATTTATTTGTTGTTCCACAGGCCCACGTGTCTCTGATGGTCCTGTCAGTCATAGCCACAGCCATTGCATTTATACTGGTGTTTTCTTATGCGCAGGATTGGGCTGGGGTGAATGACACACACACACAACACACACACACACACACACACACACACACACACACACACACACACACACACACACACGTTCATTTTTTTAAATGTTTTTGAAAGAACTTTCTTATGCTCACCAAGGCTGTGTTTTTTTTTTTTTTTTTTTTTAAACAGTAAAAACTGCAAAATTGTGAAATATTATAATTAAAAAACATGATTATGTTGTCACATGATCCTTCATAAATCATTCTAATCTGCTGATTTGCTGCTGAGCCAAATTGTTATAGGAATAGTGGAATATATATACTTTTGTGGCTAGTTGCTAAAAAAACAGCAACACCGCAACATGATGACAGACACTATTGTTCAATGTTCAGTAAATTAAATGATATTAAATTAGAATAATTGGCAGTAAAAACATGCAGTGAAAACACTTCCACACAGTTATAGTATATGAGATTATCCATATAAAGACATTTGAGATGCTAATTCTTTCTGAAGTGAAGTGTTTTGTGCTGACATACTGTGATCTGTGTGTGTAGGGAGCTCATCCTGTCCTGGGCTGTATAGTGATGGTCCTCAGTCTCGTTCAGCCCATAGTTGCTGCTTTCCGCTGTGAGCCGCAGCATGAGCGGTGGGAAACTTCTCTTCTCTAATGCAGATAGGACATGGAAAGGCATGAGTCACGCATTATTATTAATCTGATGCATGGTTTTCTTTGCAGGAGGTTTATTTTCAACTGGGCCCATTCCTTTATTGCTTTAGCTATCAAAGTCCTCTCAGGTATGACAACAACTTTATTATCTTAATCAACATCTTCCATTTCCTCAGATGACAACAATATCTGTTTTTATTCTGTGACAGTTGCTGCAATTTTCACTGGTCTGGAACTGTTTGAAGAATATAAGACGGATGGATGGATGTTGAAAGTTATGGGAGGTTTTATTACCTGGGAGGCTCTGATATACATTCTTCAAGATCTTAACTTTCGCGCCAGGAAAAAAGGTAATGCTGCATTCGCACTGGGAAAGTTACTTGAAAATACCAATGCTGTAATTTGAAAGAAGCATAACACCCTTTTTATTTATTTATTTACTTATTTATTTATTTTATACACTACACTACCTTTTAAAAGTTTGGGGTTGGTCAATTTTTTTGAAAGAAGTCTCTTCTGCTCACCAAGGCTGCATTTATTTGATCAAAATTACAGTAAAAACAATAATATTGTGAAGTATTATTACAATTTAAAAAATAACTGTTTTCTATTTTAGTATAGTTTTAAAATGTAATTTATTCCTGTGATGCAAAGCTGTATTTTCAGCATCATTACTCCAGTCTTCAGTGTCACATGATCCTTCAGAAATCATTCTAATATGCTGATTTGTTGCTCAAGAAACATTTCTTATTATTAGCAATGTTAAAAACAGTGAAATTCTTTGATGAATAGAAAGTTCAAAAGAACCGAATTTATTTGACAACAGAAATCTTGATATTTTGTAACATTATAAATATTTTTATTTTTGATAACTTTAATGTAGCCTACTGAATAAAAGTAATTTCTTTAACAAAAAAGAAAATCTTACTGACCCCAAACTTTTGAACAGTGTATATTTATATTTGTATATCATATTATTATTATTATTATTATTATTATTATTGATTTCCACTTTTTCTAGGAATTACGCTTTTGGAAATGATTATCTGAAAATGTATTATTTAAACAATCCAATGCATAAAAGGTTTATTTCACCCTTGTCATTTTATTTTAGATTCTGATATTTGCAGCTTTGGATCGGTAAGTCCAACTTTAAGACATATGGGCTTAGTCTAATTATAAAGATAATTTAGTAGACTACATAAATAAAAGGTGATTTCATGTTTTAAAGTAATATGTTTGTTTTATTTTTGTTAGATGAAACCTGAAATAGTCCTGCTTATGGTGTTTTTGTTGGGAAACCTGGCCTTCTTGATAGCACTTCTTGTTGGAATAGGGACGACTTAAGTTCAGCCAATACGCATCGGCCTTCCTCACTGGTTGAAGCAATGTTTTGACACTATCATTGTACAAGTATAGTGTTTATATATATATATATCATACGATCCCAGAAGTCTCTCTACACAATTTTTTGTTCATTTTTTAGTTAATATTGCATTCTTTCTGTGCTAATACCAATTATAGATTCACCATTGTGCCTTTGAGTGTAAGGACTGTAAGTGTGAGTTGCTATTAGGAGAATGTTCTTGCAGTAACTGTCAGTTGCTCACTGAGATGGAATATCAATAGTGTAATCACGGTCTCTAATTCCAGAGGTCAGAAAACAAGTCATCCAATTGTGTTTTTTTTAACTTTACAAATGTTAATTAAAGCATTTAAGGAGAATATTTTAACTAAGTATTTTTTATATATTTGTATAGAGAGAGAGATTATATTGTGATTGTAATTTAAGTGTACATGTCAACAGCTTTCATCCACTAGATGGCAGTGTCATGACAGGTTTTTTTTTAAACAACTATGTGACATTTTGTTGTACATTCAGGCTATGCAAGGGATGAATACGAACTCTCCGATATTTATTTCAATTAATGAATGAACCATTTTGTTTACTTTTTGGATTAATAATCGCTGATTTGCTTACGCTAAAATGTATGAATGAATGATGAATATTAACTGAATGACTAGTTAAACTGGACCAATCCATTAGTCACAAGTATGATAGAAATCAGGAAAATATCTTTTATAAGCGTTGACAAGTCTTTTCTTATTGTTTTCCCATGTGTTAAATGTAATAAAATGAATTAAGTTTCTAAAGAGCACTTAAAATGATTTAAGCCTAACCGTGTTTGCATCCATTTTGCCTCTATTATGTGGCATATTTCTGAGTAAAACAGGATAAGAAAAAAGCAAGACAATCAGAGAACTGGAAAAGATTTGAACCATTATGAATAAAGTGTTAAAGGTGTCCCAAGAGGATTTGATGATGTCAGCAAAAATAAAGATAATTTCAGAGGCGGAGAAAGTTGTTCCATCTTCATGAAAGATTGTGAAAACTATTTAATTTGGAAAAACATGCACAGATGAATCGTTCGCATTAAAAGCAGAAATGTGTGTTGTAAACTGTTAACAGTAGCCTATCAATTTTGAACAATGTATGCCTTCACTTTTCCTCCCTGTCTTGATAAAACATTACACAAAGAAGGGGAAAGAAGACTCCTAGTTACAGCATGTGGGTTGATGTTCATATTACACACAGAGCGCTGTGGTGTTCTGGTGTTGATTTAGCAGCTTGTGTGAAGTCAGCTGCTTAGCTTTTATCTTTTACAGTGTTGTGCCTCATGGTTCTTGCTGTTTCAGCACAGGCCTCCTGGTGTTTGGCTGGTAAACGTGGAGGGCAGTCGTGGCACTGAGGAAACACACAGGAAAAAAGCGCAATACTAGCAGTCTGCTGTGTGCCCGATTCACAGGCCGACTGAGTCGGGGTCAGGGGCCGGCCTTTCAACTTGCTTTGATTCAGAGTCTCCTCTTTCAAATTCACCCCAACAATATTTCATATTGGAAACTTTCTCAGTTGACAGTTTTGTCTAAATCAAGTGATATTATTGACTTCTGAATTGTCATTTTCAGGTGGGACGCAGTTGTCACACCATGCAGTGCTATTGTGTTATATCTGTACCAGTGTTAAAGCCCACTTTTATATTTTTTTATTAATATTTTAGCTTTTATTTTTACAGTAGGCTGTTTTAATTAGTTTAATGTTTAGTAGGCCTAGTTTTATTTTTTGTCATTTTTATTCATATCGGTTAGTCATTTCAGATCTTCAACTTAAGTTTAACTTTATTAACTTAATTTTCATTTTACAATTTCCTCGTCTTCTATAAACCTGATACAAAATCTTGTGCTTTCTGATTTTTGCGTGATGAAAATCTGATAAACTGCTTTTGAAATAATTTATCACTAAACGGAAATAACGCATCTCAACGAGTTAGCCGACTCGTGTTCTCTTACGAGAGGTTCTCTCGTATTGCGTAAGCTAGCTTACGCTGCGGGAAAGATTCATCTTTGCTGAGAGTTTGAAGCCAAAAAATTATTTCATAATTTCTATCCATTGACAACGCAGTTCCTCTGCGGCAGACCTAGAGCAGGCTAGCTAGCAGCTCATTGGTTCGCTCAGAGAGAACTGCTTAAGCCTATGGGAGAGCGGGGCTGAACCCGCTGCCAATGAGAAGCGCCCGCGCGCTCATTGCATCATGGCCCGCCAGAATGGGCGTGGCTATGGTGTATATAACAGTCTCTCCCAGGCTTATATGTTGATTCATTTCATCTTCAGCAAGCTACACGCTTCTGCTGTCCTGAGAAAAGCCGTCGCCGTCGAGAAGGCATCACTCTAGCGAGCTCCCGGACCCTGAAGAAGCCGGCCGTCTTCGCCACCTTCAGCCGCCCTGCAAGCTAGCGCCATCTGACGACTGTATCCTTCTTTTCTCTATATCTAAAAGAGCCGAGCGTCTTTTTAAAGATGTCTCGTTTTTCCTGCGGCTCTTGCCGCGCTCCTCTCGAGGACGGAGACCGCCATGTCATTTGCGCTCTCTGCCTGGGACTCGAGCACGCAGAACTCGCCCTCGCGGATGGAGGATGCGACTTCTGTGAGAGCCTGCCGTTGTCGTCCCCGCGCCGCCTCTCTCTTCGCCGCGTAAAAAGAAACGCCGCGCCCAGAGGCCGCCGGAGCCCCCTGCGGAACCATGCGGGCCGCCGCCGCCGCTTCCCGCTTCCCGCTCTCCCTCCCCGCCCCAGCCGGACATGCAGTTGCAGCCGAGTGGCCGCTCTGTCGCTTCCGATGACGGCGCGGAGGAGAAGGATTCCTGTTCACTGCTCGCGTCAGACAGTGAGGAATGGTCATCTCCCGGATCCACGAGAGAGTCGGCGGGGATCCGCGCCGGGATAGAGGAGGAACTAATGCGCCTCCTCTCACAGGCCGTCGAACGCCTCGGTCTCGAGTGGTCTCCTCCACCCGAGCAGGCCCCGAACCAGATGGACGGCAGCTTTTTTCATCGGCGCTCGACCCCCGCGTGCAACCGGGCCGCCCCATTCCTGCCTGAACTTCACACAGAGCTGACGAAGTCCTGGAATGCCCCGCTCTCGGCTAGAAACCGCTCCGATATATCCGCCTCGCTGCGCTCGGTGGACGGAGCCGCCGAAAAAGGTTATTCAGCTATGCCGCCCGTTGAGGACTTGGTCGCCGCACACCTCTGCCCGCCCTCTGCTAGATGGCGCTCTTCCCCCACGCTTCCTTCGAAAGCTTGCAGAGCGACCTCGAGCTTTCATGCTCGCGCCTACGCCGCCGCCGGTCAGGCCGCCGCAGCGCTGCATTCTATGTCTGTCCTCCAAGTGTTACAGAGCGATATTCTCCGTGAGTGGGCCGAGAGCGGTAGAAACCCCTCCCCCGCTGTCACGGATCTGAGAAGTGCTACGGACCTCGCCCTTCGCGCCACTAAAGCCGCCGCACAAGCTCTGGGGAGATGCATGGCCAGCCTTTGTGTATCCGAGAGACACTTATGGCTCACGCTCGCCGACATGGGAGATTCTGAGCACGCCGCGTTTCTTAACGCGCCCCTCTCCCCGACGGGCCTTTTTGGATCTGCTGTCACGGGAATCGTCGATCGCTTTTCCGAGGTCCAGAAAGCCACTCAGGCCATGAATTTGTTTCTGCCCCGCCGCGCTAGCTCTTCCGCAGGCCGCTCTCGCGAGCCTCCTGCCAGAGCTCCACCACAGCGCCCTCCTCCGCAGACTCAAACAGCCCAGCGCAGACAGGGCGGCCGCCCTCGCTCTCGCTCTGACAGCCGCCGCAGACCGCCGCCCCCACGGGGCCCGCGACCCAAGATCACGCTGAAGCCTGATCATCAGAAGTCTGCCTAGCAAAGTTAAGAAAACGACGGCGCTCTCCCGCTGCGGCCGGACCGCCGTCAAAGCTTCGCCCTCTGCCAGTCCCCGTTGTTTCGCCGACTGCTGTAGTGTTGACCGCCACAAACAAGCCGGTGTCCCAGCCCGCTTGCGAGCGACAAAAAGCCGTTTTCACGGCTACCCAGAGAAATCTCAAAAAGAGAAAATATGCCAGTTGTGTAGAAAATGTGCCCACAATCATGTGTTCACCCATACACACAAGCATAACATATGCCGTGTCTCTCTCAGAGCCCCATCACATGAAACGGGCACAGCCCGCTCTAATATCAGAGAACATAAACACGCCCACGAGCTCATGCGCGTGTCCCCTCTCTGCTCGCTCTGTTTCACGGCCCATAGACTCCTCTCTGAGTGCAAATCCCGTTGCCACACACATTCAAAGCGCGCCCACACACTGTGTCCAGCCCGCTATGTGCAGCAATCAGGGCGATATAGCCATTCGGCCACTAGCCGCATGCTCCAAAGCGTGGGAAGCCATTCCAGGCATTTCCCCGTGGGTGCTAAGCATTATAAAGAACGGCTATCTGCTACAGTTTCGCCGCCGCCCGCCTCGTGCGCGCGCTCGGCTCGAATCTACTGTCAGCCCGCTGGCCGCCGGCACGCTCCGCTCAGAAATTGCGACGCTGTTGCAAAAGGGCGCCATAGAGAGAGTCCCACCATCTATGACCGAGTCGGGGTTTTACGGCCGTTATTTTCTGGTTCCCAAGAAAGACGGCGGCCTCAGACCGATTTTAGATCTCAGGTTTTTGAACAAAGTGCTCATGAAGTGCTCATGTTCAAGATGCTCACTACCAGGAAACTCCTCGCGCAGGTGCGCCAGGGGGACTGGTTCGTCTCTCTAGACCTGAAAGACGCCTATTTTCAGATCCAGATAAATCCCCGTCACAGGCCATTCTTACGTTTCGCCTTCGAGGGTCATGTTTATCAATACGCCATTCTCCCGTTCGGCTTATCCCTGGCGCCCCGCACATTCACGAAGTGCATGGATACGGCGCTCGCCCCCCTGCGGAGCCAGGGGCTGCGCATATTGAATTATCTGGAAGACTGGCTGATTTTGGCCCAATCACAGACGGAGCTTCTGTCGCACCGCGCAGTTCTCCTCGACCATCTGAAAACGCTGGGCCTCTCTGTCAACTGGACAAAGAGCTCCCTTCAACCCAGTCAATCGATTTCCTTTCTAGGAATAGATTTGAACTCGGTCACGATGACGGCTCGCCTGTCCACACAGCGCGCGCGCAGTGTTCAGCGACTGGGCGCCTCGTTTCAGATGGGCACCCGCACACCTCTGAAAACTTTTCAGAGGATGCTGGGTTACATGGCCTCAGCCTCCGCTGTGCTTCAGCTGGGCCT